GCGCGACGTCCCCGAGCTGCAGCCGCCCCACCTGGACGACGTCTTCCTCGAAGGTCGGGGGCCGCGGGGGGATCCGTGTGTGTCCCATAGCCATGCACGGGATGTAAAGGGAACGCATGCATGTGTATGCCTAAGTGTGCACATCTCGAGCGTGCAAGCGGACCCTCGCGTGCAAGCAAATGCATGCATGAGCATGTGTGTGTGCATGCACATGCAGGCAAATGGGTGAGAATTTTGGTGTTTGCATGCAAGCGCGTGCGGGCCCGTGGCTATATGTGTGCTTGCGTGCAGGGTGGCACACTTATGCGTGCAAATTTGGAGTGTGCACACACGCTTATGTGAAAAAAGAATAGGAGCAGGTGCACACATGGGTGTCTGTGTTTTCTGCTTCTGGAATAGCAGAAAACTTCCCCAGAAAAGTTTGATTTTCCAGAAATGGCTCCATTGCTTTGGGAAAGTGCAATCCCTAGCAGCCTGGTTTCTCCATGGGTGACTCCTCTGGGTGGGACTGGTGGCTCTGCAGACACCTGGATTCAGTCCTGGTGGCGAGGAGACTTGTGTGCTGCTGCTCCAGATGGGAAAGCAATGTATTCCGGGGGGGCACCAAGGCAGGAGGCGTGTGACGCCTTTGTGCTTTTCCAAGTGTTGTGGTTTTCCAAGATTTGGAAGAAATGCAAGAAATAAGAGCCCAGAGCCCTCGCTCTCTTCTAAGGCTCCTTGTCTCCGCTCTGCATGCCAAGCTCGGTGTGTGATGGGCTGGATGCGCACGCCGTGGCCTGCAGAAGAGCCTGCTGCTCGTGGGAGGACGTGGGAGATGCTGAAAGCGCTGCTGCCTCGGCTCCCTGCTCTGCATCATCCCTGGTTATCTCATGGATCTTTCCCGTTCCCTGTAGGGATCTCCTCCAGCAAGATCGAGACGTGGCTGCAGGACTGCGGGTGAGCTGGCCAGACCCACACAGGGTCTATGGGGGTTTGGGGGTCTCTCCCAGACCCACACGACTCCGTGGTCCATCCTGCTCATCATTTATCCTGGGCCTGGGGGTCTCTCCCAGACCCACACGATTCCGTGGTCCATCCCGCTCATCATTTATCCTGAGGTCACGGCGCCTCCGCTGGGACCCGGGAGCCCTTCCCAAGGCCGGCGGTGCCTCCGGGAAGTGCCCGGGTGGGCTTGGAGCTTCCCGGGGAGCCCATGGGCGCCTGCAGCATCCTCTGCAGGGCACCGCACGGCCTGGAGCAAGTGCAGGAGGCTCCTGGGTCTCCCAAGTGTGCAGGATCTCCGGGATGAGGGCAAGGAGCATCCCTGGAGCATCTCACTCCCAAGCTCCTGGGTCTCCCGAGCGTGCAGGATCTCCGGGATGAGGGCAAGGAGCATCCCTGGAGCATCTCAATCCCAGGCTGCTCCCCATGTCCACCCACCTGCAAGCTCACAGTCGCCATCTCCTTTGGGGACCATCCAGCCCCTGCTTTGTCCCCTGTCCCCTCAAACTGCCCCCATGCCTTGCGCACCTGATTGGCACCCTGTTGGCACCCAATTGGCACCTTGCGCACCGGGTCGACTCCTCCAGGCACGGGGACAGGCTGCAGCAGGGCAGCGGGGACCAGGCAGTGCTGCAAAGGGAGAGTGAAAATGGGGAATAATTGAGTTTCGCTCCCAGGTTGTCTGTGGAGATTGTGCCAGAGGAGCCGGGTGCGCCAGGACCCTGCGGTATGTAGGATTTGCTGTGGGGCGGCTCATGGTCCTCCCCGAAACCCACCCGGATCGTGGGATGCGTGCGAGGGTGGTGGGAAGGGGACCAGGTCACGTCTGGCTCCATGGGGAGGACGGGAGCCTGCGGGTGGTGGCCGATGCTGTCCCCAGCTCCAGAAACGCTCCGCGCTTCCCGGCCCTTCTCCAAATCGCACTCTCTTGCAGGGTGCGGGACCAGCTTTGAGGATGATCTGACGCTGGGAGCTGAAGGTACCAGCAGCCCCTGGGGATTGGGAGGAGCAGGGCACAGATGGGGCAGAACGGGTGGTTTTTCCTTGGAATGCTTTCCGTGGGACTTGGTGCCTCCAAGCAGGGAGCAACGTATTGCTCCGGAGAGGGTGGCAGTGCAGGGCCTGTCCCAGGTGCTGGGACGTGTGGGACATGCCGGGCTGTGGGAAAGCTCCATGTCACTCCCTGCTGTTTCTCCTCTTCCTTTATCCAGCCCTTCTGCTTCCGAGGAATGACAAGGCTGTGGGCAGGTGAGATTTGGGGTGCTGGGGGTGCCCCACTCTCCCTGTCCCCATCCTGCCCTCAGCATCCCCTCCCCGCTCCCCTTGTCCCCTTTGGGCAGCCTGTGCGCTCAGTGCAGCCCAGCGTGTCCCCATCTGCCACCAAACCTTGTCCTAAGGGACAAGGGCCTCTGCGGGCCCGACCACTTGGTCACCAGTGACACCCACCCTCCTACCCGCTTCCCATGGTGTGTTGTCCCCATCCATGATGGGGATCTGTAACGGTGCCTCTTGGGCACAGAGCTCCATGGGCCAAGCACCTCCACCTCGGGCACAGCATGACATCCAGCGTCCTCTCTGGCACCACCACCAAGACCAGCTCCAGGTAGGACCACGGCTCTTCCTCCAGGCAGGGTTTGGGGCAGGGAGCAGCGGGATGAGCTCCACGCCGTGACGGGAACCTTGTCCGGGTGCTGAGCTGGTGCTGCCGTCTCCTCAGCATCTCCGAGATCCTGGAGTGGTGGCAGGCGGATGCCGAGGAGGTCCTCTACAACCTGGGCTTCGTGCAGAGCGAGCCGGAGGACGTGGCCCGCATCCCCGCGCGCTTCTTCTCGGCGCCCTCGCGGGCCAAGGGCATCGACTTCCAGCTCTTCCTGAAGTCCCAGGTGCAGCGCATGGAGATGGAGGATCCCTGCCTGATGTTGGCCAGTGAGTGACACGCGGGAGGCCCTGGGTCCCGGCTGGTGGGGACAGCCCTAAACCTCCCACCCAGCAGCAGAGGGGTCGGGATGAGGTTGGACTCCAATGCTTGGCCATGTCCACTGCATGTCCTAGAAGAGAGCTCGTGGTGGGGATATGGATGCAGGAGATAGTGGTCGTCATCTAGCCCCATCCAGCCCCCCTGCTCTTTGGGGATCATCTGCCCCATCCCTGCTGCAGCCCCGGGGGGCTCCCAAGGTGGTGGGTCACCAAGGGGTGACTTTGGGCAGCTCCTGCCAATCCTCCGTCCCCGGCACCATCCCGCTGCCCCGCGTGACCCTCCCGGTGGTTTCCAGGTCGCTTCCAGCAGGTCCAGGCGCTGGCCGCGACGGCCGACGCTTTCTTCTGCCTCTACTCCTACGTGTCCAAGACGCCGGTGCAGCGCATCTCCCCCGCGCGCCT